AAGAAGATATCTGTCCATCTGTGACCTGCTAATGATGACTTGATCTTTCTTTGATCTTCCAAAGTCTCGGAGCACCTCACCTACCACTATGACCAGCAAATGGAAGGTGAGGATGAAGGGTGCCCAAACTCCTTTTGACAGTGTCTTGAAAACAAATGTAACAGAGATTCCGTTGCCTTCTGGACCCTAAAAGAGCACAGGGCCCATCGACATAAAATACACCCCCTTTATCACCTTCACCTTAAAGGAGAACTATGAGATGAGTGATTTCCACTCACCTCATAGTTCTAAGCCGACCTGTGACAATGAGACTGTCACAGGTCGGCTCAGTAGATCGGGAGGTGAGGGAAAAAATACCGGGTTCCCTCACCTCTGGATCCTGTCACGGCTCTCTGCCGTGACAGGGGGAGGGGCTGGATTCCCCTCTCCCCGCTCCGATCTGCCAGTGCTGACTGGCGGAACGGACTGGGGAGGGGGCGGGTACAGCTGGCTCTGCCTCTAGGTAGGCAGAGCCAGCTGTCACTCACGCAGCTGGGCGGATCCCGTCATCTACGTCAGGATCCGCTTCGGCTGCGGCGTCTCAGTATACTGAGCTTAGGGTAACGGGAGGACGCTAGTTTGTGTCCTCCCGTTACCCTAAGGAGAACTATGGGGAAAAACACTGACCCCATGGTTCTCCTTTAAGCATGTGTGCATCTAAATTACTTCTCCTGAAAAGAGTGAACATGATGTAATAGTCAAAGGTTTTAAATACAGGAGGTAATGGGGAAGGCATGTTATCTAGCTACAGGAGAAGTCATAGAGTTTGGGGATGTTAAGCCTTATGTCCTATATGCTTTGTGGAGGGAGTAGGCCTAAATATGTCAATATGGTTCATCTGTGTGTCCCCAGTTACCAGTCTACAATATAGCTGGATCCCTGTACTCCAGGGGTAGGCAAACTACAACCCTCCAGCTGTGGTGCAACTACAAGTCCCATGAGGGAATGCAAAACTCTGACAGCCACAGGCATATCTTCCAGAGACAGATGCATGATGGCATTTGTAATTTCACCACAGCTGGAGGGCTGGAGTTTGCTTACCCCTGGTGTACACCATCCTTCAGCTCCTTTCTCTTGGCAAGACGGACATTTTGATAAATCGTCTATGGGTGGGTTCAAATAACTGACAGGGCATGGAAATTGGTGGAACAACAGGACTAAGATGAGTCACAATTACACAATGTATCTTGCTCTCATAGCCCCTATGCTCAATTCACACTGCTAACACATCAGCATAAGGATCTCTATTTTCAAAAAAAGGGACAGTTTGTTTTAGCTGTCCAATAGGACTTGAACATTTCAGTCAAAAGGATAAAAATAAAGATTCTTGGTATTGGTGATGGTGTTAATGCTTTGTGATGTGACCCTTTTATGTTTTGAAAAGGAACATTGACATATGAGGGCAGTAGGACATTTGTCTTCTATCTTCAGCACACCTCCCCGTATGAACAACATTGCCAACAAAATAAATTAGAAGAGCTTGAACTTATGATGCTCGAGGAGGACTTCGATATAGTAGGTAGGACACAGAGCTTGGTATGGACAACTTTTGGTGGTCAACTGCCCTATAATGCTGTAAGGAGGCTTCCTTCAGAGGAAGGTAGTAAAATAAACCCGCTGGGAGAAATAGAGGTTGCCAGTGCTGACCTCTTCCTCTAAAAATGAGGGCTGCAACAAACCAATCGATTAATTGATTATGAGAATAGTTGTCAACTATTCTCATTATCGATTTGTTGGTTGGATCCCCTAGCTCTTTCCCGTCCACGCTGGGAGGAGGTCACAGCAAGCAGTGGGCGGGTGCAATAGACAGCCTGCTATTGGCTATTGCAATTTGAAATGGCCAATAGCAGGCTGACTATTGCACCAGTCCACCATCTGCTGTATTTACATTCAGCTGCCGTCTGCGGGATCTTGCCACTGGCAGCCGTCATTCCTGGGCTGAAGCTTTTCCAGCGCTGTGTGCTTACAATACAATTATTGAAAAAAATGTATATAAAGGGGGGGGAATAAATTTTTGGTTTTCGGCCTGAAAAAAATCTGCTGCGGGAGGTGTGTTGCAGTGCCATTCATTTCAATGGCACCCCAAACGCGCAGACCACCCACCCACAATGTGATTGCTAACATTGGAACCGCAATGCAATTCGTTCCAGTGCAGTGCGATTGCAAAGAATTAGTAGTTTTATTCTGAAGTAAACTTTATGTTTGTAACACGGCATCTGTGTATTTTATTTAAATTAAGGATGGTGTTTATTTAATTTGTTTTATCTGATTAATCGAAAAAATTATTGGCCAACTAATCAATGATGAAAATATTCATTAGTTGCAGCCCTACTAAAAATGCTTGTTACCCGGCTGTATTGCTGATTTAAAGTGACAGTAAACTCAGGAGTTAAATCTTAAAAATACATTCAAGAACCTTAACTATTAACAACAATGTATCTTATTTGTGTATCACTCGGCTGTAGATCCTCAAATCATCTCTGAATTGGTGCTGACACTGTCCTTCCTTCTGGAGGGGGGCTACTTTTGTTCCCCATGGTCCCTGTGT